ACCCGCACACACACACACACACACACACACACACACACACAAACACACACACGTACCAAAGTTTCTGCAGCACGCGGTTCTCTACGACCACCAGCAACAACACGGCGACCCCGCCTTGAGCCGCCATCATGAGAGTGTACAGTCCCACGCCAGGGCTGGGCAAGTCCCACAGGCTCATTCCCGGCTCTCTGTCGTCTGTTGTGGGAATGATCAAGGTCAGAGGTCATTTATGTTTACGATAAGGCCAAAGGTAGGTTATGATAAAGTCAGCTGTTGGTTAGAGTTCATGATAAAGTTAGAGGTAGGTTAAAGTTAATGAAAACGTCAGATGTAGGTTATAGTTAATGATAAAGTCAGAGGTTATAGTTAATGATAAAGTCAGAGGTAGGTTATAGTTTTTGGAAATTTCCTAAGTTTTTTGCAAGCTGAAATTCATTTAAAGATGAATTTAAATTTGCTATTGTTGTTTCAGTTGGAGTTTGACCAAACTCGTCTCTGATCTTTTTTAATTTTGTTGCTGAGGAGATCAGAGAGTTGTTCTGCCAGCGTCTGCGCACCTGTGTGTGGTGGCAGGCTGACTGTGATTTCATGATGTAAGAGGCCTGTAATGATCTTTAAAAGCTCTTTAGAATTGCTTCTATTGTCATTGATTTCTCTGAGACTTGCTTTTAGCTTTAATCTAAGCCTGCCTGAGCACCTCCAATTTTGTTGTTCTCCACTTCTTCTCAGCTAGTCTTCTCTCTTGTTTTGACAATCTGATGCCACCGTTGTACCATTGAGGGTCGGGGCGCGGGCAAATTTTACGTTTTCTCAAAGGGGCGTGTCCATCTAGTAAACCAGTTAGTGTTGTATTAAAACCTTCTATTTTTTCTGAACGGTTTTTGCGCTGTTAACTTTGTCAGTGAAAGTACTTGAAATTATCTCCTCTTTGATCAATCCATGTCCAAGTTCTTGATGTTCCGAGACATAATTATTTTGGCTTTGAAACAAATAGTGAAAAAAGAAGCTAGTGGTGATCCGATGGACTGCTCTGGTCAACTTCTATTGAATGGATGGAATTATCAACAACACTATTTATCACAAAATCTATGAGGTGACCTTTTATGTGAGTTGGTTCTTCAACAACTTGTTGTAAATTTGATGCCTTTAGAATCTCCAGGAACTTTGAAATTTGCCAGTCAGTAGGTTTGTCCATGTGAAGATTAAAATCCCCAACAACAATTAATTTTCCAGAATGTAATGTCTCATCAAGTACAAACTCCTGAAATTCATGGAAATATTGTACCACAGGAATATAATGTTTTGTAGAGGATGGTGGACCATAAACGCTGACAATGCGATACTGAAGATTATTTTAGAAAAAGTTAAAAACAAGACTTTCAAATGAAAAAAATGTAGTGGAATCCAGTTTTTCAATCTTAAGTCCAGATATGAACAGTGCCCATAAGCCACCAGCTCCCCCCCAGGTCGCAGCTGGTTCATGTACAACAGGTTCACTGAGATGGTTGGCTAATTACTCAATATCCCGCAGGTATACGTTCATTGAGAACAACAACATCATTTTCAGTCAACCAAGTCGCAGTAATAATACATATGTCTATGTCCAGTTCTAGAACATAGTCAGTTATGTGTATTGCCTTGTTGCAGACAGATCTTGTATTTACAAGACTCAAAAAGAGATCTTTATAATGTGCCTTTGATGTCACTGTTGTCAAATTATTGAAGTTCAGTCCCTTTGATTTCTTAGGTGTATGTAAAGTATTTCTTACACAAGGCTTTTAGCACACGGATTTTCTTCTTCTGCCTCCACTTTCAGCCCTTTTGTAGGTCTTTTTAATGGGAGAACAAGTTGATAAAACACTGTGTTGGTAAGTCGGTTGTTTACACACTTGCTTCCTAGACTGTGTAATTCAGGCCTTGAGTAATGCAGTTTGTTGTTAGTTTTATTGCCAACACACACACACACACACACACACACA